GATAATCTCGGGCGTAAATAACAATGGTTTTGGTCTTCAACTTAACCCTGCTAGGAGGCAGGGTTAAGGTGACATCATGTCGGGATTATCTAATTTGCTCGTTTATTGTTTTTTTGTTAGCAAAAAGAATGTTATATTCGGATTTGCCATTAAATTCCGAACAATTTCATTACCCTCAACATGATATATATTTTTTTATTTTTTTTACTACTGATAGCCCAAAACATGCAAAACATCGTAAAAAGTAACTGTTGAGGCATTTTGATTAATTATTACTAAGTAAAAATATAACTAATAGCTTAACATATTCATATAAATTTAAATTGCAATCGAATCTTATTTTGTAAATTCTTTATATTTATTTTAGCAATTTTGAATCCTTTTATTTCAGCTGAATAATATCAAAATAAAAATTGTTCCATCAAACACTGTTAGGTTTGTCTAAGATTTTTTATTGTATAAAATTAGTTCAATTTTTGTTCCGCCATAAAATTCATATAAAAAATAGGTCATTTTATTTAAGTATCCAAATTTTATTTAGTATGTTTTAAATTATATGTTTATATTATTATGTTTATGATTTAAGATTTGTTAAAGAAAGACCTTTTCATCTGAATAATGTCTTAATATTTGTCATATCGGGATTTACAATAAATTGCTTTAATTTGCTGAGGTAAAAGATCAATTCTATAGTTAAATATACAAAACGTTGTATTACAACAGAATATTTTTTAAATTATAACCTGTTTTCTCATGCTTAGGGCTGCGCTCTGCCCGTCTGGCACGCGCAAATGTTCTTAGGGGCTTAGTTCTTCGGCCTGCTGTTTGTAGCCCCAATTGTGAACCGATTTAAAAGATCTTGGTGTCATAAAATGTTATTGTAGGTTTGCCATTTTATATTTACGTTTATTACTGTATACGTATGAAGGCATCTCGGCTCCTATAATAGCCAGTTGTTGCTCGAAATTTATTTTTTATACAAATTACTGATACTTAACAGATATTCATAAATCTTTGAAAAGAGCAGTCATTATATTAAATAATTTGAACGTTTGGATACACTGCAAACCTGATAAAGTATGTCTTATTTTTGAACGTAATTGGTAATCGAATTTTATTGAAAACATTACCAAGATTTTTATAAACTTTTTTTAAAACATAATTGCATTTTCCCGATTCAATGTATTCAGTAAAAGTGTATTATTCATAATTCAATGATAAATTGAGTAACCTTTAACTTTAGTATAAAATGAATTCAAGTGCAAGTCCACAACCTTTTATACGATATCAGTAAATACTCTGTTTAATTATAATAATTTATGAACCAATCATTATGACGCATTGCCATCCTCTTGTTTTGGGGCTCGTCGACCGCGAGCAGCGGCCCGGAAGGTGGCTGTTGCCAACCTCCCAACGAAAATTCCCAGTTAATCCCTGCTCTTGAGCGACGGCCAGCGTTGGTCTCGGCTAAGCTTGATCTCGGCTAACGCTCTATGTCGTGAACCCATTTTTTGACCGTCGGTTAAAATTGGTCGAGATCAACGATAACCGCGGGCCACGAAACCCCGTACTCGTGAACCGCCTGTTAGACCTTTACTTGCTATGGACACATTTGTTAACTTGGTAACACTTAACCATTCGCGGACAGGTGACGGACACAGAGTTAGTATAGTTTAACCAAATTTTTAAATTAATTTGGTTTTACTACACACACCATATTATAAAGTATTATAGATAATGGTTTTAAAGTAAAGATAAAATGCAGCAATGAAAAATTCTAGCCAGCAAATTAGGGTTTTTTTTATCATGATATCTTCAAGCAGGAGAGTAGACATCATCATTGTCTGCCGCGGTAATTGTCGTCGTCCGCGATCGCGGCAAAATCATGAACATTCCCCGAGGTCATGTAGACACACGTCATCTCTCACAGCTGTCGTCCGCAATAGCGGCAAATTATGATATTTTCCCGCGACAGTGTGGACATCACCATTAGCTCCCGCGGTCACGAAAAGGTCATCGTCACGGCAGTGTAGACATCACCATTAGCTCCCGCGGTCACGAAAAGGTCATCGTCAAAGCCCGCGACGAAATCATGAAAATTTTCAGCAGCCGTAGACATCATCCGTTGTGTCACACGGTCACAGAAACGTCATCGTCCGCGGCAAAATTAGGACTATATGATAATTTCCTACGGCCGTGTAGACATCATCGTTGTCTCCCACAGTCACGAAAACGTCATCGTACGCGATTGTGGCAAAATCATTAACATTCCCCGCAGCCATGAAGATATCATTGTGGTGTCCCATGATCACGGAAACGTCATCGTCCGCGACCGTGGCAAAATCATGAACATTCCCCGCGGCCATGAAGACATCATCGTCGTGTCCCATGATCACGGAAACATCATCGTCCGCAATCGTGGCAAAATGATCATTATTTCCCACAACTGTAAAGACATCACCATTGACTCCCGCCGTCACGAAAACTTCCAACGTCAAAATCATGAACAACTGTGTAGACATCACCATTGACATTGACACCCGCGGTCACGGAAACGTCATAGTTGTATCTCATGGTCACGGAAACGTTACATCGTCGTCCCCCGCGATTCCGGAAACGTCATTGTCATCGTTCGCGAGCGTAGCATTATCGTGAACATCTTCCGCGGCCGTGTAGACATCATCGTCTTGTGCGGTCAGGTAAACGTGATCGTCGTCTTGAGCAATGGCGACAAAATCATGAAAATTCCCTAATTCAATATCAAAATAAAGACTAGGCCTAATCATGAAAATTCCCTAATTCAATATCAAAATAAAGACTAACTTAAATTCCGACTTTTCAAGACCATATTGAAATTCAATACTAATTCCCGACTACTAGACACCCTGCGGATATATCTGCTTAAGTTAAGTCTTAAAGGACGGGTGACGGATAACTTATAAACGCTTAAGTTTAGGTATGGTTTTTGATGTTCCGGACGGGAAGCGGTTATATCCGCCTTCTCTGCAGACAGACTGGCAGGTGCTTGAGCAGTAACCAGATGTTTAGCAATACCAAGGCGCCACTTCCCTACTTGAAAAGGTAGTCTCCCTAAGTTAAGTTAAGCTATATAAATAAAGAGGCTGAGCAAATTTTGCCAACATAAAGAATTCCAAATCAAGCTAAGCCTAACTTAGGCACAGGCCTAGTCTTTAGTCATACTCCAACCAAGGTTAAGTAATGTCTTATCCTGTGCCAAAGGATTCTGAACAACCAAGTATGCTAGGCTTAGCCTAAAATCCTATGGCATTGGAAGGACAAGGGACATGGAGTTAGGTATCGTTCTTTCCGTAATATTCTAAGCTTTCTCCAGAGGTCTGTCTCAGCGCTGTACGTTCTCTGAGCCGATCGTAATTAATTGTAGCAGACAGCTGACATGCGTGTGCGTGTATTTGTAAACAGCTAGGTTACCCTCGGACCGATGACTGATGTGTTTTATTACGTTTATCATTGTTTTAGTGTTAAAAATCAAAAGTAGTGATATACGTGTTGCATTATAAGAAGATTTAAGTGGTTTTGAAGTGCTGGTTGATGATCCTGAAGAAGTAGGTAGTGATATTGATGTAAATTATCAGCCAGATTCCTAGCTATGGTTAGGCTATGCATTCTTAGCTAAACGCTATGTACTGAAATCTGTTTTTTGCCCATAACTTATTTATTTGCAAATCTACTTCCTTATATTATTATATATTTGTAATCCTCATAAAATTTAGAACAAAGTGGCTATTTTCAAATATTTGTAGGCCTATAATTTATACAATTTCATTGAGCGCAAGCTTATTTTTTTTTTGAAAATTTTCAAAATTATATTTTTTTTTACCTAAAATTTTTTTTTTTTTAAATGTTCCTTATGTTTTAAATATAATATTGAAGCCCATGATTTTCCAAACAAAATGGTATATAGAACATTAGAATTAACATTGTTTTAAGCTTCTCAGATCCGTTTTAATAAAACCTTGCAAATGCGCCAAAAATAGGTGGACATTAAGGCCTAAACTATGGACACTTGGAGGGTTAAAATATTGATTAATAATCGATATTTTTAATTATAGGGCCTATCTTTCATAAAATTAAACTATCACAACCTAACCTAACAAAACTTGCTGATAGTGAAAAAATCGCATGAAGGTTTACTAATCAAATCGATAGGCCTAGTTTCAATCAATATTAGCACAGCCCAGTTAAGAAACTGTACCCCATGGGGGATCAAACACCACTAAGCAGGACATCAATGTGTAGGACAGCTAGTAATCAAGGCCTTGTATCCATTTAAGGTTAACTGTTAACAGTTTTTCTCACTGAAAACAAATAAGATAGGCTAGGCCTACTGGCCTACAGTAAATTACCCTACTGTAACTTACAGAGCACAAAGTACAGTAGGCTAAGTTAAGCCTATATTAAATTAGACCAACAGGCTCATGAGAACAAATTTAAGTTACATAGGCTAATAGTAACAAGGTATTGGCCAAACAAAGAACATATAATCCACCTCACAGGAAATATGCCTGTTTTAATAATCGAGTCGCACAATGAATTCGTTTTGCAAGATGGCGGCAAGGACAAAAGCTTGGGTTGGCCTCCATCTCTCGACGAGTAACTTAATAGGTCTATCGATCCGGGACAAAGCCAAAACTACATTATTAATTTTAAAGCCTAGTAATTTAATTATGAAACTAATGACTGAAAAATGGCATTAGAGAGACAAGGAAAAGCAGAATTTAAAGGAGAAACTAAGTTAGGCAAGTCTAATGAGTAACTGAATAGACGCATAAGTTACAGTTATGGAGTAAGTTAGTACGCGCGCGTGGCTTGTGGCGTAGCATTAGAAAATACGTTTACATCAGCTAAAATGCACTTAATACACAACAATTACGAATCGGGAATAAAGGAAATGCATAAAATATCCTTAGAATAGAGCAAACAAAGTATAGGTCTAAAAATAGCATGGGCCTAAATCCTACCTATCGTCGTCTCTGCCGGGTCCCTGGTTGGAAGAAGCATTTTCACCACCTCCGCCGTTTTGAGTGTCGCCATTCATCTGGTCGTCTTGGTATTCTTCGCCACCAACATCTTGAGAGAAGTCTCCGTTTCCCATCTCGTATTCCTGATTTTCAGCCATTTTCTTGAATACAACTAAACACTATACGTCCTTTCTCTACGGAAGCCGGTGAGCAAAGAGAAAGAATCTTGGCTGGAGGGGGTATCGCCGGCGCAGGCTCAGAAAACTTCTGTACGGAAGAAGTGCATTGTGGGATTGCTTACGTTACGAATTCTTGGCTTTTCATTGGCTGTTAGAATTGAATGTGCTGTACCCCTCTAGGACAAGAATGATGTGAAATATACCAACGCCATGCAGCAAACCAATAAATGGAGAGGTCGACACCCTCACTTTTGGCGGGCTCATGTAATAAATTTCTAGTCGCCGTAAAGCGGGAAATTTGAATTCACAAAATAATTCTTATATTAGATCAAAATAATAAAAATACTAATTTTCATTAAGTCATGGCAATAATTTGATATCTAGAATATAAAAAATTGTGGAAGTTTAGCCAATCTCAATTAATGATAAACTACTAACTAATTACCGGTATCTAACGCTGTGAATTAAATACGTTAATGTTAAACAAGTTTTACAAAGACAACGAAACGATAACTTATTATTATTCACTGAGCTAAAATCAGTGTTATTATTATTAACAAAATTTCCCAATTTCTCTCTAGACCCTTTTAAAGAGTTAAAACAACAAATAATTTAGTATACTAAAGTCTTTTTATACAGTAATTGGCTACGGAGAAAATTCAAAAAAATTGCAAATTTAAAATTCCCATGTTATTTCTATGGAGAATATTGTAATATGTTGTAGTTTGCTTGTTTATGGAAATGTGTTGATCAAACTTGGCAAATTTATTTATTAGATACTAAGCTACTAATATGTTACTAAAAAACACTTTAGCCTGCCTGTAGCTGCAAACCCATAGGTACTTGTTAAACTTAACGTTATTTAAATTGATTTAATTTTAAATCAATTCAGGCAGATGGAATTTCGCTTATTCTACAAGTTTGCTGTGATGGGAGTATTTTTTGTTTACAGTTTGTCTCTTCGTTGTTATTTCAGTCATTTAAACCCTGGTTTAACCAAATAAAACTATCTAAAAATAATACAAAGTGACTATTCGCACGTCAAAATGACGTCACAACCCGTTCCCGTTACAGTTCAAGTTCCAAGTATTACAAAATAATGCAAAGGGAACAGTTACTTTTTTCAACAATTCTATTGGCTCTCGAACACCATCACCGCAACGATACGGTGACACGACCTCGGCCTCGGTGGTCTAGTGGATGCTGGATAGTGCCGGGTTCGAATCCCGCTACTATAACTTTTTGTCTAAGATTTTTTCATTATCAGCAAGTTTGGTTAGGTTATGAAGGTTTAATTCTATAATTAAAACATTATAAAATTAAATTTAAGCCATTTATAGTTTTATTGTATGAACATAACTAAGTTATTTTTCGATTAGACCTTCATTCGATTTTTGTCATTATCAACAAGTTTGGTTAGGTTATGATAGTTTAATTTTATTATAGAAAAATTGAATTTGAGGCATTTATAATTGTATTTTATGAACATAACTATGTTTTCGATTAGTAAACATAGACATGTTTAGTTAACATTCGTTTTTTTCATTATCAGCAAGTCTGGTTAGTTTGGTTAGGTTATGACAGTTTAATTTTATAATTATAAAATTAATTTTATAATTTATCTTAATTTTATAATTAACTATTACGTCATGGATCGTTCCTTAGTTATATAACCAACCAAACAGTAATCAACATGATGAACACGACCCTAAAATAATAGAAACAAGATTTCCTTAACACCAGCACCTGTGTCACCATCATTAAACTAGACACAAAAAACTAGCTTCAAATTTAATTTTACAATGAGATGAGAAGTCTACTTGACTACTTGTGTTCGTTAGGCCAAAAACATTGACTATTAATAATAAACTGTAAATATACTATATAATAATCAATAGTTTAAGGTTGAGCGTAAGCTCTACAGCCTGACTGATAATTAATAGATTACTTAATGCAAATGAAAAAAAATCTGCTACTGAAAAAGAGGGTGAGCGCGCGAGCCTTTCAAGACCGGAAAATGCCACACGTCTGCGCATGCGCAAGTAAGCGTTATTCGTAGCACTTGTAACAGCTGCAACTGTTTCAGAAAATCGCTCTAGTATCTTCACTGCAACTCTTGCAACAATCTACTTGAAACTGGAACGGTTCTCCCGCGCTTAACTCCAAACCATTTAATTACTGTAACTGAATGAAGAATTTTACAGATTATGTTTATGTATGTGTTACTTTACTTACTGTTACCTCTGGCACCTCCTTTATTTTATAAAATAAATTTTAAGTAACTTGGGTGGGCTACGTTACCGTTATCATCTATTCATCTATCTTCAATTGTACCCAAACATGTTTTCCAAAAGAGAAGATCCCAATTCTCATTTCATTTTTAATGGTCTAAGCTTTTTGAGATTTATTGGCATCTTGCTTATAATGAAATGTATAACAAAATGTAAATGTTCAACAACGCTAATTCATAATAATTTATTTTATTCACTAGCGCTTTCAGAAACTAGGTTTCCATTCAAAAGCGCTAGTGAATAAAACCATTATTGGCCTTGCCTTGTTGAACATAGCTGGCTTATTAATTGGAATCCTTCTGTACTTCTCGTCCTTAAACTAAAAATAAACTTTTCCACATAAACTACAAAGTACTCCAGTGTTATTGATGTCTTCCATTACTCGTATTTCTCAGAATCTTCGCATTGAAGAATAAGAAGCACATCATCGATAATAAATGACCTCCGCAACACAGCAGCAATCAAAATCTATCAATAACATTAACCCCAACTTCAACTCAGACATAGCTTGATCATAACAAATAATAACAAACGATATGAATAATAATTATGAGGAACTAGTTGCAGTTGCAGTGCAGTCAAGATAAATTCTACGACAACGACGCTAGTTAGTGAGTAGTGACGGTACGGTTAAGTGACCGTGACTTTCTGAAATAGCTGCTGCTACGCCACCAGTTACTAGCGCATGCGCAGAAGCGCGGCATTTTCCGGTCTTGAAAGGCTCGCGTGAGCGCTATTTGGTATCTAATTTAAACCCATAATGACGTCACAAAACTATCATCTATCGTGATGCGTTCCGGAGAGGTTCACAGGAGCCATCCATGACGTCATATTGATGGTCCATTTCCCAATTCCAACCCTTACTTTCCAAGATTACTTCCTGGGACCCGTAAACTACAAGTTACAAGTTGTAACTTGTAACATAGATCTTGTTCTTGTAATTTACATAAGATTTGCATTGGGCGAACAGCTGATTTACTAATAATAGTAATAATACACTGAGCCCATTAGTTTGTAGTTGTTTATGAAATAGGCCCCAGGTCAAGGTCATCGACATTGTCTATAGCGACGTATTGTCTAATTTGTGTATTATACGTATAATTATTAAATTAGTTTACCTTTTGGTTGCCAGTTTCTTGAAATTTGTAGATTACTTGCTCGATGTACATTTTGCCACAAGTGTGGCACATCGAAGTAGGCTATATAACACAAGTGGCATCGTCGTCACAGTTTTTTTAGCCTTTTAGCATATTGTCCGTCGTATTGTCATATTATTTGAATTTGACATTGATTTGTTATCTGTCGTCTGCCGTCTACCACTATATAACTGTCATATCACCAACAGACTATAGTTGTTTATTTCAAGTTTATAATATTATTGAATAGGTCTGGTCTAGTTGTTATTATTTCATTGACTTGACATAGAATAATTTATACAATTTTTGACATGACATATGGTGAGATATAGACTACTATGAATTTGTAGGCTATTGTAATTTTCAAAAATAAGTAAAAGCCTATATTTTGAGAGAGCTCAATTAAGCTAAGCTATAACCTATCCACTTGTGTCTGTGGACTCGGACTGACTACAAACTAAACTTTGTACGATAACTAATCTTTGATACCTGTCCTGCAAAATAACAAAAAAAAGTAAAAGAGCATGAGAAAAGGCAGAAGGGAAGAAAATTTAATAAGGCTAAGCAATTGTATTTCACATTTCACCTTCATTAATTTATCACTTTTCGTTCATCAATCTAATCTTTCAATATTGTATCTATATCAGCATGTCAACCCTGTAAAAATGGTGTTATACCGTGAACAAATAAATAAATAAATAAATAAATAAATAAATACCAAAAAGTGCTCTGCCGAAAAAAGAACTAGTTTTAGCAAATTTCCCTATAGCTATTACCATAGGTGGCACGATACCGGTAAGACCTAGACCCGGGAATGATTTACTTTTTCATTTCGATGTCCCAGAGGCCAAAAAAAAACATTTGTTCAAATTTGTATACATATGTATATATGTCCGTGAACGCGATAACTTGAGGAATTTTTGTCCGATTTTGATGAAATTTGGTTTAAAGGTGTAAAGCGGGATAAACTGAATGAGTTTGCGAACCAGAATTCGCTCGCACCATGGGAACGGGGCTTTACGGTGGGTTATATGGGGGTAAGAATTGGGTTTTCTCACTTTTGTCCCTCAAAACACAAAATTTCCCAATTTCTCTTTAGACTTTTTTAAAGATCTTAAAAAACAAATAATTTAGTATATAAAAGTATTTTGGTTTAAAGGTGTAAAGCGGGATAAACTTGAATGAGTTCGCGAACGACCAGGGGCGTCATTTGGGGGGGGGCATTTGCTCCCCCTGGATCCTGGGCTAGAGAAAAAAATATGCTGTACTAGCCAATATACAAATATTTTCTCCTGTCAAATCCTAAAAAGCACAGCAGACAAAACACATTTTGAGTTTACATAAATTGGTAGTTTTGTTATTCATTTACTTTTTCTGTTTGGTGTTGTACGATAAACCACTTAATTAATTCTAGTTTATATATACAAAATTCAGATTTTTTAGAAGCATTGCTTTGTCATTTACTTTTATGAATTATTCAAGCATTAAAATTATACATGTGTGTAAATTTTACGTAATTTATTTTGAAAATTGTAGACTACCAATTTAATATAGTTAAATAGAACCTTTTGTACTTTTGTGTCAAATTATTTTATTGGTGATTAAATTTTATTTGCTTTTAAGTTCTTAAATACTTGTATTTTATTTAATAACCAAAATAAACTGTTGTAAACTATAGGCTATGAACAACCATATTTATTGCTAAATGTTGTACGATATTGCTCATGAATCTTATAACAAACATAATATTAATACATCATGGAACTATTGATCACGTTTCTTAGATGACTAACTTACCAACATAAAATTATTGTGTTTCTGTCTGTTGTCAATAAATTCTTAGTTTCATTAACTTTCTGCCTAAATTTAAATAGATTTTACTCATATTTTTTTTATTTGAAGTGCTTTTGACAACTAAAATAAGCTTAAACACCTCTTTTTTTTTCAAAACTGCAACATTTTCCGGGGGAGGACCCCCCTTGGTTCCTGGGGGGTATTCCATACCCCCCGGTGTTTGCCCCCCCCCCCAAGGAATTGGTGAAATGACGCCACTGCGAATGACCATGATTCGGACCATGGGAACGGGGCATTATGGGGTAAAAATTGGTTTTTCTCACTTTTGACCTCAAACACAAAATTTCCCCATTTCTCTTTAGACCTTTTTAAAGAGCTAAAAAAAAACAAATAATTTAGTATATACAAGTATTTTGTTCGGTTATTGGTAACGGAGAAAATAAAAAAAATGGTAAATTTAAAATTCCCATGTTATTCTTATGGAAAATAATGTAAAATGTTGTAGTTTGCTTGTTTATGGATATATTTTGATCAAACTTGGCAAATCTATTTATTTTATACTAAGCTATCAATATTTTACTTAAAAAAAAAATTTTATTAGTTTCCTTGTAGCAGCAAACCTTGGTACTCGTTAAACCTAATGTTATTTAAATATATTTAATTGAAAATCAATTCAGACAAATGGAAATTCGATTAGTCGACAGGTTTGCTGCAGCGGGGGTATTTATAATGTCTTGATGATGTCTCAGACTTAGGAGAGCACAATTAATTTTACCCGGAGCAGAATTTAATCGTGACGTCACTCTTGAGATTTTGAAGGCTGAGTCCATTCGAACTGGCGATTTTTTATAGCGAATCCATATTCGTCATCCCACCATAGTCTTGTAATTCAAAATCTTAACGCATCAACAAAGACATCTTGCGTTGAGTTGGACATTTGCCTTCTTTTTCAGGGACTTGTTTTTCTTTTGCAATGAGTGATCAGTCAGGCTGTAGACGCTTGTAACGTTAACTTGCCGGGATAACACGACAACTCGCCACCTTTGATAAAAACTGGTGGTAGCGGGTTGTGTTGGCACCTTGACTGGAGCGAAACCATCAACCTACCACCTTAGATAATTATGTGGTGGTGATACCTTGAGGGGTACGTATACAATACAAATAAACCTGCCACCTCAGTAAATTTAGTGATGCCAGGTTTTCGGGGTGGCACCTTGACAATGACCCGTTTTAAGACGCCACCATTAATTACATTTATGAAAGAAATAGAAGTTCAACTTTTAAATATGAACATCAAAACAATTTATTTAATAGGCCATCCTCATATTACGCAACGCGTTTTCGTCATTTTTAAACCCCTGTCCCCCTCCCTGTGACACTGCATAATGCTTAACCCCATGACGCCTAAACCCCCCTCCCCTGTAACGTAACGTTGTCAGATAATTTCTTAAATGACGTTGAAGGGTATGATATCTTATGGTGAAATTTTCTCCTGAAATAAAAAAAAAGTTTAAAATTTGTTTCAAAATAATGTTATCAATAAAAACAAACGTTTTAAGAACAAACTTTAAAGTTTATTTGAATACAATAACTTAAAAGACTATCATTTAAAACAATTTAAAGTGTATTGGACATATTTTTATTTATTTTGCGTAAGTAAAACTCCAAATTTTCAAATATATATATATATAAACATGCAATCCCGTTAGTCCCGGAATTAAAAGACGCCAATCTTGGGATTTCTAGGTATCAAAAACTGATCGGAATCCCGGGATTCAGGATCACGGGATTGAGACCTTTAAGGCTATATATGATACTGGGAAAGGATACAAGGATTACAAAAAAAAAAAAACAAAGTAATTTCTTAAGTATAATATTGTATAATAGGTATAAGTATTGATCATGTATCATCACAAATAATGTTTTTATGTATATCTGTCTTCAAGCCTGGTCTTAAAGTGTCTTGCATTTGTTGAAGAAGCCTTAGTTGCTTCACAAGACCTGTAACATTATCAATATTTGAATACAAGCGATGATAATAAAGTAAACATAGTAAATATTTTATACTCATTTGTGTGTGAAAGTAGCAAATGGGTTGGACATTTGTCAATTATATTCACTTTGGTAATTAAAATATTTGCTGCAGTAAACCTGCCGACTAATCGAATTTCCATTTGCCTGGATTGATTTTCAATTAATCTATTAAATTAACAATTATGTTTGACGAGTAGGCCTACCTAGGTTAGCTGCTACAGGGAAACTAATAAAGTGTGTTTTTTATTAAAATATCAATAGCTTAGTATGAAGTAAATAAATCCGCCAAGTTTGATCAAAATAAATCCATAAACAAGCCAACTACAACATTTTACAATATTCTTTATAATAATACAGTAACATGGGAATTTTAAATTAACATTTTTTTTTTATTTTCTCTGTAACCAATCACCGTACAAAAACACTTTCACATACTAAATTATTTGTTTTTTAAGCTCTTTAAAAAGACTGGAAAAATTGATAAATTTTGTGTTTTGAGGGTAAAAATTAGAAAAAACCATTTTTATCCCTGTAGAATTTCGGTAGCGTGTGGAGTGGATTGAGTGGACTGTATATTTATAAGTTAAGCGGAGTTTTCATTCTTCAAATTAGAACACTGAGATACAATTAACAAATAGTTTTAATATTAACAAATAAACTTTCAATGATTTTACAGAACTTTAAAGAGAGATTACAAAAGAGAGAGGGATCTTGAGTCTTGATGTGTTTGTTTTTCAACTAACAAAATTACTAATAAATTATTTCATTGTTAAATCCCATATGTTGTTTTAAACATTAAAACAAATTAAAAACCAATGCCATCTGTATTTATTTTTAGTTGATAGAAAGTATTATTACCTATAACAAATCACAATTAATTACACTGAATATTGAACATACCCCCGCCCGTGAACCACTAAGAGGGGTTCACCTAATAATGAAGTATTGAGAAGAAAAAAAATGTATTTAGAAATGAACATATTATTCACAATAAACTCTTGGTTAACAGTCTTAACTTCTTTTATTACTCATTGATTGGGAGGGGTGAGACTTTAGTTATAGGTCTGGAGAGTGTTCCTGATGAAGTTTTTAATTGTACAACTCGTACAAGACCATCTTGCCCTGGGGAGGTTGAAATGACACGTTCCATTTTCCATGAAAGGGGAGGTTGGTTTGGTTCATGCAATAGGACAAGATCTCCAATTTTGATGTTAGGTTGAGGACTTCTCCATTTCCCTCGTTGTTGCAACGTGTAGAGGTATTCTTTTTGCCATCTTTTCCAAAAACTTTGGGTTAAGGCTTGAATAAACTTCCACCTTGACAATCTGTTTGTTGAGACATCATTCAATTCAGGTTCAGGAAGAGATAAAAGAGGTCCTCCAATCAGAAAATGACCTGGAGTTAAGCAATTTTTGAAGCGTAAAATGTAAGCGATGACTCGCTGGAGGGTTGACCAAGATGAAAACCTGTTGAATAAGTCTGGTTTTTGAGTTGTAAACATTATTGGTAAAGGTTCGGCCTTACGTTCTGGCAGTTGTTCGTCTTGGAGAGGGGTGAAGCGAGGAATAGGCCACGACTCCTGATCCAGAGATAACCCAGAGATAATCCAGAGATCGGGACCGTTCCACCATAAACTGTTGTCTTTCATAGAAACGGAAAGGGTTTCTCTACTGGCAATGTCAGCTGGATTACAATGAGTTGAGACATGTTTCCATATGTAAGTAGGAGTAAGTTCCTGAATTTCAGAGACTCGATTTGCAACATAAACTTTTAAGCGGTAGGGTACAGTTTTTATCCATGACAAGACTACAGATGAATCACACCAAGCATGTAATTCGTTGACAAGATAATCTTGAGAGAGTAGAGAGTTGCAATAGTTCAGGAGTTTGGACAAAAGATGGGCACCACACAATTCTAGTCTAGGGATGGAGATCTTCTTAAGAGGAGCTACTCGAGCTTTGGCAATTAACAGATGTACGTTGATTTCTCCGGAAGAACTTGCACATCGCAAGTAGACACAAGCTCCGTAACCTGTTTCAGACCCATCACAAAATCCATGTAAACTGATATGAACAGCATCAGCTACGGAAACATATCGAGGTAAGCTAAGTTCGCTTAAGAAAGGAAGTTGTTGGAGGAACTTAGACCATTTTTCAGTTAGATCCGGAAGTACAGGCGCATCCCATGATAAACCTAGTGCCCATAAAACTTGTATCAACGCTTTTACCCAAAGAGTGACTGGAGTCAACCAACCGTTTGGATCAAATATTCTGCTAACTGTTCCAAGTATACCTCGTTTAGTGGGAGGCGTGTCTGGGATATTCAACTGATAAGAGAAAGTGTCTGAGTTAGGTGACCATTTTATACCTAGTACCTTAAAATAAGGTTGATCTGAGGAGTCGAAATATAGAGTTTCTTTGTAGGAGTCGGGAAGAGTTTCCATGATTTGAGAGCATTTGCTAGTCCATTGTTTATCATCACTGTTTGGAGGAGGGTTAGCAGGTTCCATGTGACTAGATGGCAATAAATCATGTATGGCTTTACTATACTCTGCTTTAACTTCAGGCTGACTTTCTAATTTTCTTTCAAGTGATAGGAATCTATTACGGGCGCAAAATGATGAGTCACCAAGAGGGGAATGATTTTCTTTTATGGGTAGCCTAACAAAGTAGCGTCCATCTGAATCCCTAGAGACCGTGTTTAGAAAGTGATTTTCACAAATTTCTTGTTCAGATGTTACATGAAGTTTGACGGGAGGTTCCTCTAGAGTCCAAAATTCCTACAGAGAATTGTGCAAATCAATATCTTGAGTACTTAATAAAGAAACATTACCCTTGCATTGAGGGGCTGTTTTGTGAGGGATTACAGCAGGAAGAGTTGGGGCAGATCCTATGATAAGATATCCAAATACAGAATTCATGGCAGCAGGAAGATCCTTGTTAATGATAATGCGTTCACCAGTGATTACTTTAGCGAATAGATCAGCACCTATGAGCACATCTATCTTACTAGGCAAATGAAAAGTTGGATCAGCCAGGACCAAATGTTTGAAGTATTCTTTAACATTAACTGGAACTTCTGAGTGTGGGAGGTTTGAGGTTATTCTGTCTAGAATAAGGACTGGGTTGTTATCAGCAATCATTTCTCCGCTAAGAGACGATATGTTAACTTTTGACACACCTTTAGATTTAACTTCTACTGATGATAGGCCATCTATCTTGGAATTACTGGAAAATGTCCGTTTGAGCATAAGCAGGTTAGCAATATTTTCTGTTACGCAGCTTACCATAGATGCAGAGTCAATAACGGCTCGGGCTACAACTGTGTTACCGTTATTAGCTTTCAAGTAGACCAATGCAGTGGCTAGCAATATAGTGGTATTAGGGTTTGAGGAGACAGCTACAAAGGGAGGTTCAGGGCGATCATATGTTTTATTCATTTCCTTGGGTGTTGGAGCATTATCTTTAGGCTTTTGATTAAGCTTATCATTAGGCCTATTATTAGTTTGATGTAAGAGGGAGTGATGTTTCAGTTTACAGTGAAAACATGTTTTATTTGACTTACAGTCTTTGACAGAATGAGCGGTACCTAAGCAGTTCAAACAGAGGTGATTTTTCCTCACAAAGTTGTATCTTTCCTGTACGGACAAATCTTTAAACTCTGAGCATTGGTATATGTTGTGATCACTTTTACTACAAAATGTGCATGTGGTGTTTGAGTCTCTGAAAGCTAGTAAAGTAGTGCGGTTCGGTGTAGACTTATGTAGGCCTATCTGATAGGAGTGAGGGCTGGACCTCTTACTATTTTGAGCGAAACCTACATTGCTATTGCTTGAAGTAGTTCTAGGTAACTGAGAGTTAGAGAGGTTAGCAGCTTCTAAGTAAGCACATTCATTTTCTAAAAATGTTATTACTTCACCTACGGTTGGAAGGTCTTGAGAATTTAGACGTAAGCTTTCAAACTTTTTGCGAATGTCTGCGGGTAATTTCCTTAGTAACATGGCTGAGAGCAAGATATTATCCTTGGCTATGTCATGATTGAGTGCAATGAGTGCTTGGGCATTTTCGTTATATTGAGAAATGAACGAGCGAATGTTCTTGAGGGAGGAGTCACTTAGGTTAGGTAAGTCTATTATGTTGTTGAGGTGTATACTTATGATTTTCCTACTGTTTTGATACCGTTTTTGAAGAAGATCCCATGCTACATCATAGTTTTCAGCTGTGATTGGTAAATTCTTTATAAGATTGAAAGGTTCTCCCTGTAGAGTAGAAAGCAGATATTGAAATCGCTCAACTTTAGATATGTTTTCATTATCATGAACAGATACTTGAAACAGGCTTACATAAGACAACCATTGTTCTGGTGAACCATTGAAAGTTTTGAGAGATAGAGGAGGGAGTTTTAGAGAGTGGCTATCTTGGTTTGAGGAAGAGCTACTAGGCCTATGGGGTAGGCTACTTGATGGAGTATTTGTTATTGAGTCAGTGTTTAGAACAGGCATATGACTTGTAGGATCTTGAGAAAGGTGTTTCTTCGTGAGAGTTTGAATTCCTACATATAAGTCAGATATAGTATCTTGTAATTGAAAGAGTGTATCTTCATCATAATCATCGGGAAGCGTGTCACTATTGAATAGTTTCGCAAGGGAGGTTTCAAATTCTGAATATTTTCTAAGTGTTTCTGAATCTAAAAGTTTCAACTTATTTATATGTTCTTGGGACAAATCAGGTAATAAATCTAAAGCTTGGATGTTAGTTTGGATTTTGGCTAAACGATTCGCAATTGAGTTTAATTGCCTAGAGAGGGTGACGAATTTCATTGTTTAAGTGTTTGGGAACTAGAATGAGAGAGAGAGATTAGAGATTGTCATTATCTGCAATACAAGACACAGATGACAGATGGAATTGTTACATTAGCGCTATTAATGGTGGCTCTGAACATTACAAATTACCAAATTGTACAGTTTG